GTTCCTCTCTCTCTCCATATACATCTGCTTTAGAGAGACTACATAAGACAAATTGTATTCAGTTTCCACTAGAGAATTAGTAAGCAGTATTTACGAGGCAACTGCCATCAGGGTTTATAAAAGCAAACTTAAACACAGGAAGAAGAACACAATGAGGAAGCCATGGTCCAGAAGCACTGTCAGGGATGGATCCTTGGCTGAGGGCTCACAGAGCGTGTGAGAAAAGGGCTGAAGACCAGTGTTAACAGTGGAGCCTCAGAGACAGGGAGGGACAACAGCTGACTCTCTGGATTTCTTTCGTATAAATTTCGTTAAGTCTCCATTTCTTAGACATACATACACATTGTTTTAAAAATAAACATCAAAAATTCACATTATACTTAAGGTAACATATAATATATACAAATAAAACAAATGTCTACATCTAACAAACTAAAAGTGAATAAGCTCATTTCCCTGCTTAGATTTGGCAATGAGAATATAATCCAGAACAATTTTTCTGTTAGGCAGTTTGATAAATGGAATTTTCGTGTAGTTAAGATCCGACAGTAGTGACGCACACCTTTAATCATTTAGTTAAGACCTAAATCCATCTTACTAAATATGGTGGAATAGGCCTGGAATCCAAAAGCTAAGGAGGATGAGGCAGGAGGATAGTAAATTCCTGGAATGTGTGATAAAAGTCTGCACACACACCAAAAAAAAAATGGTCAATAAATAAAAACATAAAATAGAAAACAAAAACTATCACTAAGGTCTGGAACAGTATGTGGTGCAGATTATTAACTAAAAACTGAACCAATACGTATACATTCAGACATGGAACATGAAAATACAAATGATACAAGAGGGAAACTACCAATGTGAGAAACCTTGCTTGAAATCAGGGCTGTTCTTTCTTCTTTCTCCCCTGTTCACAGCATCTCTTGGGGCACCGGGAGATCATGAAGGGAGATCAGCAGACTCTCGTGTAGAAACTGAACACAGCTCTGTCTCAGTTCCATTGCTGCTGCTATGATAAAAATGCACTGGTAAAAAGTGACACCGGAGAGAGGGGGCTACTCGCCTTGCAACTAGTTCCAGGTTCTTTACAGTTAGTCCATCACCGCAGGAGAGCCAGGCCAGGACTGCAGCCACTGCTTACAAGCATCTACACTCAGGAGCACAACGAAACGAAGGCTGCATGCATGCTTACAGCTCAATTCCCCTCATGCTTACTGCTCAATTTACACAGTTCACGGGCCAACCCCAAGATGGCGCCGCTCACATTCAGAACGAGTCTTTCCACCTCAGTTGATCAAAATTAGAAAAACCCTTCCTTCACAGGCCAACCCAACGTAGACAACCCTTCACTCAGTCTCTCTACCCAAATGTGTCATTTTAACAATTAAACTAGCCACAAACCAAATAAACCAATACCTAACACCCACTGTGTTTTTCCACTTCACTATCTGTATTTTTTGTAAACTAATTTTAAAGATTTATTTATTTGTATTTCATACACTTTGGTGTTTTGCCTGCATGCATGTCTATATGATCTATCAGATCCCCTGGAACAGGATTTACACAGTTGTGAGCTGCCGTGTGGGTGCTGGGAATTGAACCTGGGTCATTTAGAAGTGCAGTCAGTGCTCTTAACTGCTGAGCCATCTCTGCGGCCCACTGTCTGTATTTTTAAATTCTCAGAATGTCTTCCTCATATGTGCCTGCTTTATCTTAATGGTTTTCCCGGTTTTATCTTAATGGAAAACTATTTTATATTTTCATAATATTCAATTGCTTTCACTCTTTGGATCTTGATATCTGTTGTAAATGCTGACTCCACTTCCCATAAAGTTTCCTTGCTTTGTGCAGATGATATTAATTGCTTGTAATTTTAGAGTTTATTTGTTACTGTAGAGCTTTACATGTCCATAACTGCAAAAGTGGTCCACTGGGCAATGTTGCACTAAATTCACCAATAGCTTGTAACAGTTTACCATCCTAAAAGCAGTTTTATGTCATTCTCTAGACATTGCACAGACTACTGTTGGTGTCCTCTCCCAACTGTGGGCTTCAATTCCACAAGAAGTCAATTTTCCCCCTACACCCACAACTATGGGAAAAGTGCTATGTCAAGTCACAGCCCCATATAACAGTTTCTAGGTAATGCACTATTTTTCTAGCTATAACTTCCATGAACAGTGTCCAGTTTTGTATAAACTCCATGCTAGTTTCTTGTCTTGAAGCTGGTGGGCACTTGATTGTTCTCATCAGAAAAAAATAACCTCTCTTGGGCCCACTGATGGATGGGCCCCTACTTTTCTCTGAGTTTGATTTCTTCTTTGTCCAGCACATGGAGTTCCTTTCTGTCAAGCTCTCCTATCTACTCAGGGTCTGCTGTTTCCTCCTGTTCTTTATCAACTCAATCCAGCATGCTGCAGGAAGTCTCTGAATATATCCCATACTTTAGAGGGTGTTAGAGTAGTAGGAACCACCATATATTTTATTTAAGTGTGAATACCCATACCATTAACTAAACTCTATAACCCTAAGAAAATTACAAGTTTGGGTACAACTACCAGAAATATAAGATGTTGAAACAGGAGAGACAAGTTGATGGACCAAAGGACATTAAAAGTATCATTTAATCATTTAACAAGACTTAGCAAAGCAAGAGATCTTTGTATTTTATCATTATAATGAAAAATGTTTCTAAAATTGTATTATTTCTATATATATATATATTTATAATATAATACTTAGGGCTGGAGAGATAGCTCAGCTTTTAAAGACTAAGCCCATAACCAAAAGTGTAATACAATACTTATAGCATTATATCTTAAATTATAATAATGACATTAAAGGACTTAAAAACATCAGCTTTGAACTGGTATAGTCTTAAGACTATAAATAATTACACATTTCTCTTCCCTTTTCCATTTTATTCTTTGGTTCTACAGTTTGGACTTAAATTGGCTTAACAATAACCATCTGAATAAAAAGAAAGAAAAAGAAAAAAAGAAAAATTCAAAGCATGCCTCTGACCCATGAACTTGTGTATATTCTTTCAAGGGTTTTTCTTGTAGTTTTCAAGGTCAAATCTCAAGGGCCAATAAAGGAGACTCCTGCTTATACAGTGTATTAAATCAAAGTCACTTGTATTAAAGAAGGAAAGACATGGTTTGAAAATTACCACACAGCGTCTACATACTATGCGTGTATTCACTTCCTCTTTTCAATCATTCCTTCTTATTTTTAAAAAGCATAAACTCTCAGGTGCTCGATCTCCCAGGCAGCAAAACAAAAGGGCAGGTTGTAAACATTCCCGCAAAAGTGGGAATAAATTTTGAGTTTCTCTTGGATAAACATTGAGGAATAAAATGCCAGGTGGTACAAAAGGTGTGTGTTTAACTTAACTGCTTTTAAAATATGTCACACAACTGTATATAAGAGACCCAGCAGATGCACATTATTGCCAATAGCTACATTCAATTTGACACAGAAAATACTGCACAATGTTTACATGGTTAAGTAAAAATTGTGCTTCATCAGAGTGAAAACATAAGAAAAAAGCACAGAACCACATTGTGGCAATCAAAGTTAAAAGTAGACAAAGAGTTTCAAACTGTGTTAAGGTGGTTATAAATTTAGAAACTATAACAAAAATGATATTCTTAAGTCATTACACTACTGTGTACTGCATCAAATAATTTCTAAACACTGAAATATTAATTAATATTCACTGTAAGAATGAAGTGAACATGAATGCATTGACTCCTTGGAAAGCTTAAAATGTTATATAAGCCCACCTAACATGCCAATCTAAAATAGAATTACTTGTTTTGTTTTCAACCAAACACCAACCTCATTAGGTCAAATTCCTTATACAAGCAAAACAGACAGACAGCAAGAGTTAGATAATGACACAGGTGAAAACAGTAATGATTATGTTTCATAATGTCACTGTTGAAGATCAGTAACACCCTACTCATCCTTATCAATACAACAAAACAAAACCAGAAGCACTTGCTAAGTACCAAGCATGATTCTGAGGCCTTTGAAAATCACAATCTAAATCCTCAAAATAGCAGAGATATGTCACTGCAATCCCTTTTTTACAGATTAGAAAACTGAAGTTGGATAGTTTACACAATGCCACAAGGTTTTGAGTTACAAGCCCAGGATTCAAACTCAGTAAGTCTAACTCCAAAGCACAAGCTCTTGGCTCTTTCCATCCTCCAAAAGGCCAATATCTCCCTTCACCACCAGTCTTCCATAGACACAGAGAAGTGTTCTGAAACACTACAAAAGTGTCTATTTTACACCCTCTTTTAGGAAAAGGTATTCATGAATGCATTGCTTCAATGGGGTTAGGCAACACGGATTGAGTAATTGATTGTAAAATGGAAGGAAATTATTGAAGTCTATCTCCTGAGAATGGGGATAACAGTGGCAATTTATGGACTTTCCCTGAAAATCGAATAAGATGCCGTACTCAAAGTACACAGTATAGTGCTGGCATGGTAAGTTAGTCAATAGCATTTCTGATATTAGTACTAATATTAGTTCTATTTGTTCTAAGCTGTTTTGAAGAGGGTTGTTTCTAATTTTATAACTGGACAGTTAGATTGAACAAATAGTTCTTCAAAAGAAAAAAGAAGTCTCCTAATATTACATTGCCTGGAAAATTTATGGAACTGACTCTCCATAACATATACTGGTAGCCAAAAATAAAGTGTGGGTTTATAGAACAACGGTAAATGTGGACAATAAAATCTTAACGAGAATTAGTTAATTCTTGAAATCTGAAGTCTCATAAGGCAGAAATTCTTCAGTGATCATGACCTGAAACTACTGAGAGCAGGTTTTAGGAACTACATCCAGTTCTGGTCTTGGGAGGAGCTTGGGCACATAGGCTTCACCAGGGTAAGCAGGAAGTGATGTAGGCAAGTTCAGTGCTCAGAAATCATTGGGGCCACACACGTTTAACCTATAAGACAACGTTGGCAAGCACTTACTAGTATCTGGAGTTTTGTCTTCTGACTTCCCAAATAAAAATTCGTACTTTGCCTTGGCAACACTCTGGGAATGTGCTGATGCATTGTTAACCCAAACAAACGTCTCTGCCTGCAGGATGAGAAACAAGCAAAGGCATCATTACAACACAGCACGACAACTGATAATTACCCCAGAACAAAAATTACCCTAGAATGATTCAAAATGAAACGGGAAAGATCAGAATACAATCAGGATACACATATTTAGCAGTGAGCCCCAGACAAAAAAAAAATATACATACGATATCCACGGGGGAAGAAAAGAACACACGGAAGGCTGCCATGACTGTGGAGCAGGTTTGCGACAAACTGTTCTAAAAAGTTTACGTGGCTAGGGGGAGCTCAGTTAGTCAAGTGCTTGCACACAGACCTGGGTCCAATATCTGGAATTTAGATTTTAGAAAGCAGGTGTTGGAGGCCTGGGTTTGTAGTTCCAGCCCTGGGGAGGCTGACTCTCCAACCTTCACTACTCGGTGAGCTACAGACCCTGCTTCAAAGTGACTGGCTCCGAGGAATGACACCACCGATTGACCTTGTTTTCACATTTACACTCACATACATGCACCCACACGCACGGACAGGCTCATGCACGCACAGGCTCGCACACGCACACAGTAGGTTTATGTTACTTTTAGCTATTAAAAACTATTTAACAAGGCAGACTTGGTAGCAGAAAGATCCCAGCACTTGGGAGGCAAAGACAGGAGGATCTCTTGAGTTTAAGGTTAAGCCTGGTCTACAAAGTAAGGGCCAGGGCAGTCAGGTGTTTTTTGGTTTTTGTTTTTGTTTTTGAGACAGGGTTTCTCTGTGGCTTTGGAGGCTGTCCTGGAACGTGCTCTTGTAGACCAGGTTGGTCTCGAACTCACAGAGTTCCGCCTGCCTCTGCCTCCCGAGTGCTGGGATTAAATGGGTGTGTCACCACCACCAGGCAGTCAGGGCTTTTACACAGAGAACCTCTGCCTTGGAGAAAAACCAAATGAAAAATAAACAAACAAAAACTATTATGTTACCTTTCTGCAGGATTAATATCACTTAGTAATATTAATTTAAAAATTTAAAATATTTCTCTCTATGGGTTTTGTTGAGCCACACCAAAATGAAAGTAGTCTTTCTCCAAAAAAGACCACATCTGTACATCAGAAACACCATGCAGCTAGAAAAGGCATACACAGAACTGCCAGCCCTTCCACTGATGCTGTCTGTCTTAAATTTGAGCATCTGCCCAGTGTCCTCCACAGTTCTTAAAAAGCTGCTATTAAAAAAAAAACAAAAACCTACAGCGGGAAAGGTGGTTTACATCACATTTTTGAATCCCTAAGACCTCCTTCTTCCTGACTGCTGTAGGCAACTGTCAAAATTTCAGTGGTTCCTATTTCTGGTCTAAAATTAAGTTCTAGATGAAATTTGATCTATATGCATGGTGGAATCAATCTCTTGTGTCTAATGTAATGAAAAACATCCAGATCCCGCTTTCATTCATGGGAGTCAGGTTTGCCCAGGCAGGTCTATGAAGTGAAACGGGATGAGATTAGAGAATGAACATTATCAATGGCTTTTCCTTGGCTGCAGGTGACATCCAGTCCTTCTGAGAATGCCTACGCTGGTTTCTATCTTGACTATGAAGCATCTATTCTCATGTCTGACCCACAACTGACCCTTCATCCTGGGGGACAATGACCATCCAGGGTTATATGAACAACCAAGTAGTTACTTGCAACAAGGGTATCTTCGGACTTCTGTGATAGCCTTTGAAGCAGAAATGGCTGACAACGACAGAAGGCCCGATTACAACGCCATCACCTCACGACAGGCCAGTTCAGCATGTAGCGTTATCCCTGCCACTCTCCGCCACCACCTTGCTCTTCTAGACCATTACAAAGAGTTAACTTGCAGAATTTTGAAATGGTATTCCTAAAAATAACTCTGCAACCATTTAACGTTCATAATGTGCAAACTTCATTGCTGGAAATTCTTTTTAGTGCGATGTGTTTAACAAGTACAGGTTAATTATCCTTTTTCCCAACAGAGAGAAAATAATCATAATCTGTGTATTTAGAGAGATTCTGCTAATAAAAGAGTAAGTCTCCCAGGGATTCCCGTAGAGGGTGACCTAATTTGGAAGATGCTTATGGCAGGCTCTCTGAGGCAGTGATTCCTGCAAAAATGATAAGGTGAAGAAGCTGGGGAAGGACAGACAGACACTACGGGGGGAGGAGAGGACAGACATACATATACACTACGGGGGGGCATCTGAGAATGACTAGTCTGTACCTTTAGTAAGAGCAGGCCAAGAAGCACAGGAGTACGGGTGAGTGGGCTAGTTCAGAGACCAACAGACAGCAACATGGACCTCAGAAGCCGAGATCAAACAAGCATGGGGTACTTGTGGAAGGAAGTCTCATACCTGGTGACTTTTGGTTGTCTTGAGGTGACAATGAAAACTAAGCAGAACAGTGTATATGGAGTCACAATTTAAAGTATGCTTCTCCATGTGCTTAAAACACACTGATAGGCAGAAGTTGCCCTCACTCACTCACTCATCAACACCTAGGGCAGGTAGGACAGCGGGCCCTGAGGACAGGACAATAGAGTCAACTCTGTTAATACAGGTGTGGGTAAGCCAGCCCCAAAATCATGACTATAGGAGAGCTACCCCCATTTGTCCTGTGGTGGCCTAGATGAGGGAGAACTACCCTCCTTCTCCTCCTATCCCTGCCCATCAACACCTGGGGTAGGTAGGAGACCTGGCCCTGTGGTCATAAGTATGGGAAAGCCATCCCTGACCCCCACCGGCTGCAACACTAGGGAGAGCAGGCCCTGCATCTCTCCAGGGCAGCACAACAGAGCTAGCGCTGTTATCTCAGGTGTAGGTGAGCCAGCACTGAAATTGTGACCATGGGAAAGCTGTCCCCATTTCCCATCTGGTGGATCAACATTACAGTTGCTCAGGCCCAGACCCAAGGTTATGACTTGGCATGCCCCAACATCCAACCCATCTGTGATCTGCTGGAGCACGTGAAGGGACTGATCAGAAAACCTAAAGCTGTAGGATCTCCACAACATAGGGTGATGGTGGGAAGTCCAGGAGGGAGCCCAGCGTCGACTGTGTGGTGGAGACCAGGGGCCTTGACAGAGACCAGTGACTCTTTGCAATCAATACTTGTAAATAAAGATGTATGGACACTGGGGTACATGGTATGACTCGTTGGGTCGCACAGCAGCTTCCGTGACAAGACTTTTTAATTCCTTCCCTTTTAAACTTTTTCTTGTTTTATTTTCATTTTTGCTCTTGAATTTTTTTATATTTGGGGGGTGCAGAGGTGGAGAGCAGATGCAAAGGGACAGGAAGTGAATGGGATCAAGATACATGATGTGAAGAACACACAGAATAAGTAAATTTTCGTCAAAAAAAAAAAGACATACTGCTACAAGGGCGTTCTCAAACTGTAGCACAAATTAACATAATCCATAACACACAGCACTTATTTGTTGCGCCCGCTGCACCGCCTGTATCCGGGAATGTGCGGAGGATGGTGGGATTGATGACACAGACCAGTCGGTGGTGTAAAAAAAGCTTTAAGCAGGCCCAAGAAGGCTCAAGAAAGCTTCCCGAGAAAAGCTTCCAACAAAGTTTCCCAAAGAGAGCTTCCCCGTAAAGCTTCAGCTCCCTTTTTTCAGTTCCCTTTTCTTACCCCTGGCTGGTTATATGTCCCTGACACCAGAGCAGGCAGCAGGGGTGGGGGTGGGGGTGTTAGGAAGAGGCAGCTAGCCATTGGAAAGACCAAAGTCAGGTTGTTCCCGCGAGGGAGCCCTCATTGGAACTTATTGCTCCAGTAAACATTTCTTAGGGCACTGGATTGTTTTCAGAAAACATGCTTTTAGTAAACATATTTTTAGTAAACATTGTCTTACAGGCTGATGGGTAAGTGGGCCTCCGGTCAAGGTCTTTTGTACCCACACTCATTAAAGCACACATTTCTGTGTGCAATCAAGAGCTTCGGGTTCAGTTAGTACAGGACCTACAAATGTTCACCTCCTACCAATATTCCAGAAGATGCTGATGATCCCGATATCACACTGTCTGTACCAGCGTCTACTGGTGCACTTTCATTGTATGTAAGAACCAGCAGGCGGTCTTCCTATTGGCTGCACAGGTCTGATATTGAGCAGACCACATATGAGTATCTTTACTTGCAGGCTCTAAGGCTAGGGAGTGAAGCAGTCAGTGTTCAGAGCACACTCAGACGCTGGCAGAAGAAAACGAGTTTTTTTAATTTATTTTTTTAAATTTAAATTAGAAACAAGGTTGCTTCACATGCCAATCCCAAGTCCCTCTCCCTTCCTCTCCCCTCCTCCATGCCCTCCCACCAACCCTCCCAATATCCCCTCCTTTCCCCAGGGAGGGTGAGGCCCTCCATGGGGGTGTCTATGGTCTGTCATTTCATCCAGGGCAGTGCCTAGACCCTCCCCCAAGAGTTCAGGGTGAGAGTGCATCTCTCATTGTGGGATGGGAGTCCAAAGTCCATTTTTATGCCAAGGATAAATACTGATCTACTACCCAAGGCCCCATAGATTGCCTATGCCTCATCACTGACACCCACATTCAGGGGGTCTTGATCAGTCCCATGCTGGATTCCCAGCCATCAGTTTGGGATTCAAGAGCTACCCCTTGTTCAGGTCAGCTGTTTCTGGGGTCTAAACCAGCCCAATCTTGTTTAGCTGTGGGAGTCTGCCTCTGCTTCCATCAACCATTGGATGAAGGTTCTGTTCCCCAGACTCTCTGGCCATGGGATTGTAGACTGGCACTCCCCAGATCTATTTCTAAAGTCCATATATAACAGAGTACATACCATGTTTCTCTTTTTGGACTGGGTTACCTAGCTCAGGATGGTTTCTTCTAGTGCCATCCATTTGCCTGAAATTTTCAGGATTCCATTGATTTTTTCTACTGAATAGTACTCCATTGTGTAAATGTACCACATTTTCTCTATCCACTCTTCGGCTGAGGGGCATCTAGGTTGCTTCCAAGTTGTGGCTATTACAAATAATGCTGCTATGAACATAGTGGAACAGACATCCTTGTATGAATGGGCATCTTTTGGATATACGCCTAGGAGTGGAATTGCTGGGTTTTGCGGTAGGATTATTCCCATTTTTCTGAGGAATCTCCATACTGATTTCCAAAGTGGCTGTAAGAGTTGGCACTCCCACCAGCAGTGGAGGAGTTTTCCTCTTTCCCCAAATCCTCTCCAGCATAAACTGTCATTGAAGTTTTTGATTTTAGCCATTCTGACAGGAGTAAGATGTTATCTCAGAGCTGTTGTGATTTGCATTTCCCTGATGCCTAGGGATGTGCCTCACAAGGGCTACTCTATCTAGGAGTAACACACATGAAAGTGTCTCCATTTAACAAAGTGCCCTATTATTTTGGCAACTGTGGGGGCCCCTACATCTGGACTCAAATCAAAGCACTCATATCCCTCCATTTCACTAAGTGAATAGAACTCCTTCTCCCTATGTTAGCTATCTTAAGATTGAGAGTCCTACTGATACTATTCTTCCCATGTGAAGGCTTTTAAGTCCTCACCTATCTCTACAATAATTTTATAGATCCTTGAAAAATCTATTTGAAATAATCAGTTTGATTAAAGACAGGCATGGTTCAGTAATACATTTTACATTGTGTGTTACTACTTAGTTAAAACAGTTTGCTTCGTCACAATTATCTTAGAACACAAATCTCTTCAATAAGCACACATAACAGGGGCGGGGGGGGGAGCTTGGCAGTAGCAGTACATGTTTAGCATGTATGGGGACCCAGGTTCAATCCCTGACACCTAAACGCTTTAAAGGGATTTAAAAGGACATAAAGACTTATATCTCAAGTTAGGCATCAGGACTGAAATCCAGCTCTACTAGTACCTGCTACTCCTCAATACTACAGAAACATCTGTACTTCAGATTCCCTGCTGTGGCAAAATGTTGTAAAGCTGGATAGCTGACATGGTGGCGATACCCACTTGTGATCTTGGCACTCAGTAGGCTAAGGTAGGAAGCTTCACAATTCAAGGTCAGCCTGATCTACATAGTGAGATACTATCAAGAAAATGGGAGGAAGGAAGGAAGTGAGGGACAGAGGGAGGAAGGGAGGGAGGGAGGGAGGGAGGGAATGACATAAGAGCAAAAATCCAGTATTACAATCAACATCTTTCATTTGGAATATAAACTTTTTAGGTACCAACAAGACACCACAAAGAAAATGTCACACTTAACATGATGACACAAGACAAAATTAAGGCACGGTAAGAGATGTTATATGAAATTTCTTCCAAGCTATGTACATATGGTATATATGAAATGTAAGGTATATAATTATATATACACAAATATTTCCATACTAAAACTTCCATCAAAATCTAAATTCTCCTAATCCGACCCACTCTTAATGGGAGATACCATAGTTGTAGTTCCATTTTTGTTTGGGGCTCCCTCTAATTCTGAAGCACAATAATTCTTCCTATTTCTGAACCACCTTAGCAGAGCAGACTTCATTAAGGAATAATTCACAATCCCTTTCCTTTGTGATAAGGTTGCAGTGGTGAGATCACCAACGTATAACATATATGCAGTGCAGCCAAGCACAAGAATGTCAGTAAATAGCACAAATAGGATCTCAGCCTCATTCATGACATCCTTTCCACATTTACAAAACATTTCCCATACATTCTTCATCATACAATGATACCATAATGTCCTTTCACATAAAAGAAAAATGCTTCTGACAAGGAAGGACTTCTTCCTGGCTACACGGGGGAAATAAAAAATAAAAGAAGAAGACAAAGCAAAGCAGAGAACTCTAGAAGGAAAAGTCATTTGCAGTGAAGTAGGCAAGGAAGATTGGGCCACAGGAGTGGAGGAGGGGATGAGAGTGGGGCTTGAGGCAGGTTCCAAATACGTCCTTTTCTAATTAATCTCAGCTTCAACATGATGGCAAGAAGATTTGAGAGGCTCGGTCAGTTGAGTACTATAGGCTGCTTTGGGCTAGAAAACATGGAAAGGGAAACTGCATATTATAAAAATAATATTTCACA